CCTCCTCCTCCTCCTCCTCTTCTTTCTCCTTCCCCCCCGTTCCGTCGTCCTCTGTGCCGGGAGGAGCCCGCGGGCCGCGAGAGCGTCGCGAAGGCGCTCGCCGAGGACGACGGGCCGGGACGGCGCCCCTCCAGGGCCCAGGCGGGATTCAAGTTTCCAGCTTTTTGCCCTGCCCCCCCCTTATCCTTCTTTCTCTCACGCCTTATCCCTCCTCCTGCTCCTCCTCAACACATAAGATACGTTTGCATGGTACCATCAAGCTCTGGTTCTGTTCGAGCTGTGGGTATTTTGCTAGTCAGATGATCAGAGGCCTTGGGCAACCGTGCCCCAAGGCTCCGAACTCCAATCGAGCCGAGTATCTATCCAGAATCCAGAATGGGCAATGGCCCAAGATTCTGAGTCGGGCCGATCTCGCTCGTCGGGGTTCCTAGGTCTTTGGGAGTCGCTTCGCGACTGGTCTCACTCACTCACTCCTCCTCCTCCTCCTCCTCCTCCTCCTCCACCTCCTCCTTCTCTTCCTCCTCCTCCTGCGCGATTCGGGCTCAAAGCATTGGCTTGGATGAAGGACCCGCTCGCGCTGCTGCCGGCAGGGGGGCCGGGACGCTTTCCCTTCCGTGGGGCATCCGGGGCCAGAGCTTCACGCCTTCGCTCCTCGTGAGATCCCGTCCTGGGGCCATTCGCCACAGCAGTGGACGCGTTCTCTCGGTTTCTTTAACAATGCCCGTGCGCGCTCTCGTCAATGAGATCTTGCAAATGTCCCTCTCTCCTGTCACTGAGCGCGTTCCGCTACTCGCAAAGTGCCTACTCGCAGACGTCCGAAACAGATCTGCTTCTTTCGGTGACATTACCGTAGATCTCCCGCGGCGGATCCAGGCCATTTGCGAGTAGCTACTTTGCGAGCAGCGGAACGCGCTCGTCTACCCTTGCCCGGAGAACAGGTGCAGGCAAAGCTTGACATCGGACTCAGGGATGAGCAGAGGAGGGACGCCCAGCGCTCTCCCGTGCACGCCGGGCCTTGCGCCGCCAGCGGGGGCGGGCGCTCGTCAGAGGGAGGAGCGAGAGGGGCGCCCTGAGAGGGGGGCCCTGGGCCCTGCACTCCAAGCAAGACAGCCGGCAGAATGATCAGGGAGGTGCGCAGCCGGGTTGTTCTTCACAGGGGAGGGTTCCTCCGAAGGGCTCAGGCGACCCGTCCTCCTCCTCCTCCTCCTCCACCTCCTCCTCCTCCGCCTCCTCCCCCTCCTCCCCCTCCTCCTCCTCCTCTTCCTCCCGCCTCCCCTTCCTCCTCCTCCTCCTCCTCCCCCTCCTCCCCCTCCTCCTCCTCCTCCTCTTCTCCTCTTCGACCTCTTCCTCCCGCCTCCCCCTCCTCCTCTCCTCCTCTCCTCCTCCCTCCTCCTCTCCTCCTCCTCCTCTCCCCCCCCTCCTCCTCTTTCCTCCACCTCCTCCCCCGCCCCCTCCCGCCTCTCCCCATCCTATAACCTCCCTCCTTTTTTACCTCCTCCTCCAACGCCTCCTCCTCTCCTCTCCTCCTCCTCCTCATCCTCATCCTCCTCCTCCTCCTCCTCCTCCTCCTCCTCCTCCTCCTCCTCCTCCCCCTCGGGTCGCCTACGGCCCTGGGGGAAACCGTGCACTTCAGAGTGGCCAAGGTCGATGGCCCTCCAATCAGCCACCTCCTTCTCGGAAGCCCGACTGGGTCACTGCTGCTGGGGCAGTCGACACTTGAGGGTCCGAGCAAGATGCTTAGCAGGTTTGCCGGGGGTGTGAGACACGCTTGGCACAGCGTCCCGACAACTCAAGAGAGAACACTACCCCCCCCTCGCGTGCATCTTTCCCACATGAAGGGCTAGCGTTTTTTCGTTCCTGGAGTGAAGCCCGCTCTCATTACACACTCACATTCCTCAGGCAGTCCTGGGCCTGTCCTTACAGCTCTCGAACCTGGTCCCGACGTTGCGCTTGGGAAGTTGCTCATTAAATTCCCTTGTTGGATAGGTTTGTTCCTTGTGGGACTTCCTTGTGAGAGTTAACTCTGGCAAGGACCCTGGAAACCCAGAGAGCAACATCCTGAGGGCTACTCCCGGCAAGACGAGGCCAATGCGCAGATAACCACTTCCAGGAACTTCTGTACGCATTGCAAACTCATTCATCCACTCCGTGTCTTCCCTAGCCATCCCAGTCCAACTCTTATTTAGCATCAAGCAAGGAGTCCAGAGCTACCATGAAGCAAACACGCAAGGCACGTCAGTCTGGCAACCCTAACCGTGATCCCCAAATTCCTCCGTTGAACCTAGTGCAGCATCTCGCTCATCCTGAAAATTGATAAGCGGCGGCCCTCAGCAGGCACGGTAGAGCATGGGTATTGCATTCCATCCATTGAAAGAATATCCCCGGCATCTTATTTCAGGTGGCGGCATTGAAGAGGAGCTTGGACACCAGTACAGCTCAACCCACTTGAATGATGAAGAGACGGGGGGGTCCTGCTACGAGACAGCCGAGCAATGTGCATGTACTCGGGAGCAGCAGTGAAGGCACGATACGATGCGCGACTTCGGCGCGGGTCGCTTCCAAATCCATCACCATGCTTCCCAGAACTTTGCGCACTCTGAGCAGAGGAGCAGAACGCCCGTCAACTTCCCCACGGATCCTCCGGTCCTCCTGCATGACATGGTCCACGCGGGCCTGCCCAGAGCCCTCCCCGGCAAACCTCGAAAGACACATAGATTTATCCATGCGCACTAGGAAACCCAGAGCGGAAACTCTCTTTCAGAGCATGCTGGAGCGTCTGAGCAGTTTTTCCCTTGAGCTCTCCAGCACTCCTGCGCCCCCAGTGATAAGCCGATCGTCAACCAAGCTAACACTGCCACGAGTCATCTTCCAACCTCGGGGACGCGGAAAAAAAGGCGCCTGATCGGGCGGGAAGGAAAGGGGGAGTGACCCCAACAAGCGCGCCCTCCCTCATCCTCGTCTCAACGGCACAGGTGAGAGGGGCGCACGCAATGCTGAACAGGTCCGTGGGCCCCACCTTGCCTGGGCCAGTCCCCTTCGCCGGTTTCAGAGTGCTGTCAGCTCCTTGGATGGACCACTGCCGCCCTTGCTGGGTCATGCGATGCAAGTGCACCAACCGCTCGTCCTCGCCCGCCTGCTTCAACCTAGGAGTCTTCTGGAGGTGGGTGGTGACAGCACCGTGTTCCCCCTTGGTGGGAGGCGAGTTTCCTTCTAGGCCTCTGCCAAATCATCCTGATCATGGGGGGAGGGAAACAGTCAGATGCCTGATGATACCATCGAAGGCAGCAACAAGGTCCACCAGCAAAATGAAGGACGAGTGGTTGTGATGGGCTTGTAGTGGTGTGGAACTCTTCCACGTCTGAGTACCCTCCGCCTCCCCCTGTCCTCCGCGGCCGTCCTGTCTGTCTCGTTTGCCCTCTCTTGCATGCCGGCCGATTTGCTATTCGGTTGCCCCGAGTCGCCCCACGCTGGTGCAGACAGCCTCCGCCTTGCCGCCGACGGTAAAAGTGATGGGCTTAAGCATCGGCCATGGGTCTAACATAGTGGTTGGCGAATTCGGCAAACTTTCCTGGGAGCCCATCGCATTCGGACTCCACCAGGCACCGCTGAATGTGGTCCCAAATCCTTCCTCGGAGGAATCCATGATGCACCTTACACGTGACATTTTACCGATGCACGCTTCTGTTGGCCCTGGCAAGCTTATCATCCTGAGAAGGTGGCAACGAACCAGCACTTCGACTGAACAGGCTCACGAGTAACAATCGTTGCCCTCCTCCTCCTGCTCCTCCTCCTCTTCCTCCTCCTCCTCCTCCTCCTCCTCCCCCTCCTCCCTACACAGACTTAGTGTGAATATATTGTCCTCTCTCCCCTAATCATGTCCAGCCGGCGTTGCCGCCGCCTCTCCTGCGCATCGTTTTTGTCACACAGGTCATTACGTGCTGGCCGTTCCGGGCATGTGTTTTCGATCATATCGTAACGTTCTCGGTCCTTGATGCTGCTCCCGCTGCAGCGTTGGCCGCATTCATGATATTTGGTGTTTCGCCCCGTCGCCTGCAATGACGCGTTCGCCCCTTCGCGGGAAACACTTCCGGATCCGATTCGCACGTCGCCGTTGCCGCCTACAGCCGCCATCTCTTCGTCTTCTTGCTCGTCCTGCTCCTCTAGATCCTCCCGCTCTTGCAGTTGCTGATCCTTTATTCATTATCGTCTTCCTCTTGCTCTTCCGTCACCTCCTTGTCTTCCAAACCGGAAGCCCTCCCCCCATGTGTGTGTGCACATCACACGATGGGGCCCCTTGAAGGATCAAAGACCAGGACTCTCTACGACACCCCGGTCGGTGGATAGAAGAGGCGAGGGTCCGGCGCAATCAGAAGGGATGCCAGATGTGGCTTGATCGCGCCTGCTGACTTGCCTCTGTCCTCTCTCCTCTTCTTTCCTCCTCCCCCCTCTCTTCCGTGCCTCCTCCGTTTCCTCCTCGGTCCTCTTCCTACTCTTGCTCCTGTTTCCTCCTCCTCTCCTTTCCTCCTCCTCCTCCTCCCTTTCCCCCTCCTCTTTCCTCCTCCTCCTCCTCCTCCTCCTCCGCCTCCTCCGCCTCCACGTGGCCCGAATGGTTGCGAACGATTCAGTGCCACCTCACGCGCTCCGAGAGTGGCACACTCGCAAGGGCCCTCTCGCCACGCAGCCTTGGCGGCGGTGTGCCCGCAGGCGCACGTATGAGTTCCTCCTCGGGTCTCTTCCGTTTCGTTGGCTACAACCTTTGCTAGGCATCGCGCGCGTCCAGGATAGCCGACATTGCCGCCGAATGCCCCGCCTACGACGCGATCGTGCCGGGCGGCACTCAGTCGCGTAGCTCAGGCGACGCTGTCGAGCCAGAGCCCATCGTCGACTCTTTTGGGTGCTACAGGTTCGGCTACGAGCGTGGACCTCTCGTCACTCCGTCGGGTGGTATATGCACCATGGTAATGAAGCGTGGCTTTCTTGCAGCATTCGGTCAAACGCATCTTCCAGTTCCCAAGCACTTGTGGGGGCGTGCAGGATGTGTGGTGGTAAGGCAGCAGGGGCAGGCTTTCGGCATCATCGGGTTGTATATTTCACGAGTCTCCAAGACGGGTCAGAAGCAGGCGTATGTCACGGCAGTGGCGAGTTTAGCTGCGCGGTTTAAGGGTAGGTTTGTGTTTTTTTTTGGACGGCTAGCACGCGTTGCCTCTACTTTACATTCTCGGCCGGTGATTTGGTGGTCTGACTCTCTCGGCTGGTGATCTGGTGGCGGGCGAGTATGGCGTTGGCAACACCAGTCTCGCCCCTGTTGCGATTCGTCCGATATTACTCGTGGGGACTACTTGCAGCCAGCACTGTTTTCTAGAACCCTGCACTTGCCGTTGGCGAGTAGGGCGAGCACTACACAGACCACATGGTCCTACCTCGCTCACTGAGACCAGCAGTCGAGAAGTGTACGGTGCATACGAGAACCGCCCGCAGGTTGCAGCTTCACCAGACGGCATCTGATCGTGACCATAGGCCAGTTGTTCTTGCGGTTCATATTGCTGCGCTGCTGCCCCTTTCCCTGTGCGCCAGGCTCGCCCCGAGTCGCGAAACCACGTGCGAGTGCGTGCAGACCTGCTTCGAAGGGCAGGAATCCATTCACACACTGAATCGGAGGGTGGAGGCGGCCATGAGGAATTCGAGGAGATGAACGAGAAGGGGAAGATGGATGACCTGAACACACACTACAGTTATGCGTGTGATGAGCAGTGCTGCTTGCGTGGTTTTTACTGTTTCGCTTCTCTCTCTCTCTCTCTTTCTCTTTCTGTCTCTTTCTGTATACATATATATATATATATATATGGATTGAAGATTGCGCCACCAGCGCTAAGCTACTTGGGAGGCTCTTCGCCCATCGTAGCCAGCATAAAGACCTTCTAGGCAGAGCAGTTAGACTTTCTAGCACCACAGCAGTTGGACATCATCAAGCATCACAGTCGCCAGCTGAGGGACAGCTCGGAAACGCGCGGGAGACGCGCGAGCTACACAACTAGATGAACTTAAGCAGGCGCTGGATCAGCGCAACCACCCGCGTGCTCGCAGGTAGAGGACGCGGCCCGCGCCAGAGTCGATTCCACGCTCTTCCGCTCCAGTCGGCTCGCGCAGCCATGTGGGCCGAGCGCGCGAAGCAACCCGCGGGAGAGGGGGTGGCGCTCGGCCACGGAGCCCCGTCTAGAGTCAATGCGGGCCGAACTCCGGGGACTACCCCGGGCCCCACGGGAAGAACTGGAGGCCGTTGGGTTAGCCATGGAGGGTGACGACGCTATGGCTCGGAAGGTCTGAGAGATGCGCTTCTGGAGGACTTGGCCCGATTGGCCCTGCCCGCCCGGGTCGCTGCGCCTACTTGCTCGCCCCGCCCGGGCAAATGGGCGTCGTCCGAAAGCCAGCGCTGGCCTCGGGCAGGGCGCTGCCGAGCTACAAGAATATCGAGCTGCTGAATGATTCTAGAAGTTAGTATGGGCTTGTCGGCGCTGGAGGCGCACGCCAGCATCGCGGCGCGCAGTCCAGGCAGCTAGCTCGATTGACGAAGCAAGCGAAGGTTGACCGCGATGGCGAGCGAGTGCGCATGCGTCGGGTCGCACCTGTAATGCTGAAGCTCCCCATCGAAAGCCGAGCTCCGGGCCCCCGCCTGACTGGGCCCGCGGCGGCCTCAAACATCGACGTCGGGAAACAGCGATGGCAGTCCGCGCCATGCGCAGCTTCCGGATGCACAAAGGCTGGCGTGTTCTATTTTCATGCAGCCCCGATGCCTCCAACGCCTTCTCCTCGTTGAAACGCGCGGCTGCGCTTGAAGCGGCTGTCTCAGCTTACCTTGCAGGCGGCCTTGAAATTATCGAAGATCGAATCGCCAGGGGGATATTCACGCTCGGCGACGAATCGGGTTGTTTCTGGCTTCTTCCTGGAGGCGGCGCGTTGCCTCGGGGCGAGTTTGGCACGGGCGCGCGGCAGTTTGCGCTCGCCGGTTTCGCATGCGACGCAGCTAGCAAGGCGATGGAAATCAGGGATGGGGGGTCGCAGCAGTTAGCAGCGCAAGCCACAGCAGAGAAGGAAGCCTGATCCAATGGGGCAGAGGAGACGGGAACCCCGCAGAGCACCAGGAGGATTCATTTTTTTTGCCGGGCGGGGAGCGCACGACGCGACCGAGCTCCTGCGCAGGCAGGAACGCAAGGCGGCGACAGGAGTTTCACGGCATCACGTTCGGCATCTTCGTTGCCATTCCTCATCAATTTTCTCCCCGCTCCGGAGGTTGGCAACCGTTAGGCATTGCTATGAGTCAGCTTCTACACGACGGGCAGTTGCTAGTTTTCGACGGCGCCTCGAGAAGCTCGAGGCGATTCTCGCAAAGGGCCCCCTGATCAACGTCGCCCTGCCTGGGATGGAAGTCTGGGCCGAGTCCGAGGGGCCCGCCGCGCCGGGGGATATCCGGGCCCGGGCAACGCTGATCGCGCCTAAGCGCCGAGCTATTTTACAAGGCGTGTTTTTGGGGCTCGGGGCGCGCGGCGACCTTCGCCAGCCGCCAGGGGGTCGAGAAGTCTAGACTGGGCCCCCTTCCAGGAGGACCGGGGCCTTTCTAAGGCGGAAGTGTTCCACGGCGGTTCTGCGCAGCAGCGCTAGGCTCCGTGGCAGTAGACTGCGAAGTTGCGGTTAATTAGCGGGTTCCTCTTCGGTGGCGCCCTTGAGCACTCTGGCTTCAGCATGATATTCGTTTCTTGGGGCAAAAGTGCTTGGCGAGGAGCTGCTGCTTAATGCTGATGATCGCCTGCGCCTTGTACTTTATGATCCCGAGCTGCGCGAGCAGTTCCAGATGCCTGATGCCTGCGAGCTTCGGGCGCGCTTTCTCCTTTCTGCCGCCGCCTGCGCGGCGCGTCGGGCTGCCAGGACCGAATGCGATTTCGCCTTCTTCAAATGTCTGGGCGACAGGCCGCAACGCTGTGCCCGATGGGCCACGAGAAGGCAACTCGTCGCGCGCATTGCGTCTACTTTGGGAGGCGCGCGCGGACGGCTGCGCATCGCCGCGGTTTGCGCACCCACGAACGCACGTACTAGATGCGGTAGTGCAATAACGAGATCGCACGGCAGCGCAGCAGCGTGCTAAGAAGAGCTCGGTCAGACAGCGTTGCCGATGCAAAAGAGGAAGATCGGCAACGGGTGCCGCCGATGTCAACGATCGCCAACGCCGCGCTTGCATTGGGGAGTTCGACGCCGCAGACATTTTGTCTGAGCATTTTTCTTGGGAATTTGCGACAGTGCCCCAATCCATTTCTACGCCCGTCTGGACGGAGGCGGCAGGGTCAGATCCGGGACTCGCGAGGCCACGGGGGCAACGCTTCGCGGCCGGACCAGGCGCTGCCGCGAAGAAGGGCAATAATGGGGAGATAGAGGGGGGCGAGGAGGGCGCAGACGAGGACGCGTTCGAGAGTGAGGAGCTTCGAGCACGCAGCGTTCAGCACAGCGTTGATCGCCCGCAAGTCTTCGGCCATCGAGGCGATCAACAAGCTGTCCCAGGATTTCCTGCAAATGCGCAAGAGCGAGGAGAACAAGAGCAAAGACCTCGCAGGCCCCGCGTCCCCAACCCTTGTTTGCACTTCTCGCCGTTACCGAGAACCACAAGTTCAAGGATACTTCGCCAAGGATGAGAGCGGCTTCAGCAGGCTGCAGAAGGCTCGCGCTCATGATGGGGCGCTCAGTTCCGATCCAGTTGGCGGGGTGGAAGCGGGAGCTAGTGGCGCAACCGACGGCCGACGAGCCAGTCGCCGAGCAGAAGAGTCGCAATGCGCTGCGCGGCAGCATACCCCTTCCCGACGAGGACGGGGCCACGGCAGAGCTAGTCTCTTGCTTGCCTAGGGTCTTGCCCCCCCCTCTTCGTCGCCGCGCGGTCGCGCCCCTTCTCCTCTGCAGTGGTTGCAGCAGCGCTGACACGGGATTGTTTCGTTTGTTTTATTTCAGGTGTTGCAGGTGGCAGCATGGTTTTCCGAAGGGCGAACTGACGAAATGGATGGCGTAACAAAGTCTATCGAGCCCCAACCTGAGCCAGAAACGCTTTCCCCAAGCTGCTCGATGCCAGTCTCGAAGGGCTCGAGCACGCACCACCGTTCCCTCTTCCCTCCTCCACCTCATCTCTCCTCCGCCTTCCTCCCTGCCCCACACGCGTCCGCGGATAGAGAAAATCAGCGCCATGGTAAGGGATGGGAGGGAGGGGTAGGACGTCAGATATGACGCGAGCGCACCTAGCTTGCCCCTCCCCCCGCCACCCTGCCCCCCCCTCCCTCCCTGCCCCCTCCCTGCCCCCTCCCTCTCTCCCTGCCCCCTCCCTGCCCCCTCCCTGCCCCCTCCCTGCCCCCTCCCTGCCCCCTCCCTGCCCCCTCCGCCTTCCTCCCTCCCCCCTCCCTCTCTCCCGACCCCTCCTCCCTCCTCGCCCACGGGGCGGGGCGACAACCGCCCCCCCACCCCGCGGGCCCAGGCGGGGGCCGACCCGCTGACGGCGGCGGCCTCGGAGACGCAGCTCGCCTCGACGCGCGTCTCCACGAGCCGCCCAGTGCGATTCTCCACCCCGGAGGAGGTGCTCGGGGGGCCCATGTCCCGCCATGGTTTCTCCTCCTCCTCCTCCTTCCGTTCCTCCTCCTGTTTCTCCTCCTCCTCCTTCTCTTTGTTCCCCCCTCCTTTTATTCCTCCTCCTCCTCCTTTTCCTCCTCCTCCTCCTTTTCCTCCTCTTCCTCCTCCTCCTCCTACTCCTCCTCCTGCTCTTCCTCATCCTTTCCCTTCTCCTCCTCCTCATTATCCTCCTTCTCCTTGTTCTCCTCTCTCTCTTCCTCATCTCTCTCTTCCTCCTGCTCGTCCTCCTCCTCCTCCTTCTCCTCCTTCTCCTTCTCCTCCTTCTCCTTCTCCTCCTTCTCCTCCTCCTCCTCCTTTTATTCCTCCTCCTCCTCCTCCTCCTCCTCCTGCTTTTCCTCCTCCTCCTCCTCCTCGTCTTCATCCTCCTTCTATCCCCCCGTCATTCTCCTGCCCAGGGAGACCAACGTCTCGTCACTCGGGTGGTTGGTAAGAAGGGAGGGTCACTAGACTGGGGAAGGTTCAGAGAGGGCCACGTTTAGGAGGGGCACCTTTGGGGTCCCAGAGGGCCCCTTTTGGGTCGCTATACGGGGTCCTCCGGAGGCCCTCAGGGGCTCCTTCAGGGCTCCTAGGGGGGTCTCCCAGAGGCCTTGCGTAGGCCCGTTTCAGGACCCCTCTCCTGCAACCCTCGGCCGCCGCCGCTGCTCCTACTGGGCCCGCCCATCATCGACCCATTTTGGGCCCCTCTGATGCAGTCCCCGAGTTCCGGCCGTGAAGGATTGTCCGCTCGGAAAGCGGGGGGGGGGGGGGGACTCTGGGATACACCCCCAGAGGGGCTATTCGGACACACCACTATATCGAGGATGGACGCGCGCTCTATCGAGGATGGACGCGCCCCTATCGAGGATGGACGCGCCCCTATGGAGGATGGACGCGCCCACTATCGAGGATGGACGTGCCCCTATCGAGGATGGACGCGCCCCCATGGGTGCAATCTCAAACTCCCAGAGTCGGGCATTGGGGTCGCCACATCACCCGTTAGAAGGCCCTGGGGTCCAGGACCTGTCTCCCTCAGGCCCCGCGTGGGTCATACCGAGCGTACTCTTCCAGTCGTCTTTCGCCGAGGGCGCACCCGCGAAGAGGCCCTCGAAGCAGGAGCCACTCGAGCTGCCCCGCGCGGACACGCATCCCCCTCGATGATTTGTAGGTCCCGGTGAGGATCAGACTTCGATTCCCAAGTGAGGCCGTTACAGAAGGGGCCTTGCCTTCGAGGATCGAAGGGTTGTCATCTTTTCCGCTGCGGAAGCCGGCGGAAGGTTGGCGCAAGTAGAACGAGGCCGCCTCCGCTGGCAGAAGCCGGCGGCGGAAGGCTGGCGGAAGGCGGCGGAAGTAAATCGTCGATCCCCCAAGAGATGCAAACGTTTCGGGGTTCAGGAGGAGAAGGGGAGGAGGAGGAGGAGGAGGAGGAGGAGGAGGAGGAGGAGGAGGAGGAGGGAGGAGGAGGAGGAGGAGGAGGAGGAGAGTAGGAGGAGGAGGAGGAGGAGAAGAGGAGGAGGAGGAGGAGGAGGGGGCGGAGGAGGAGGAGGAGGAGGGGAGGGAGGAGGAGGAGGAGGAAGAGGAGGAGGAGGAGGAAGAAGAAGAAGCATAACAATAAGAAGAAGACGACACATAATAATAATAATAAGCAGAAGACGAATAATAATAATAATAATGATAATAATAATAAAAAGAAGAAGAATAACAATACTAATACTACTAATGATAATATTAATGATACTAGTAACAATAATAATAATAATCTTAATAATAATAATAATACTAATAATCATAATAATAATAATAATACGAATAATAATACTACTAATAATAATAATAAATAGCACTAATAATAATACTAATAATATTAATAATAATAGGAATGGCAATAATAATAGTAGTAATGATAATAAGAATTCTAATAATAATAACAATAATACTAAGAATAATATTATTAATAATAATAATATTACTTATAATAATAAGACTAAGACTAATCATAAGAGGAGGAGGAGGAGGAGAAGGAGGAGGAGGAGGGGGAGGAGGAGGAGGAGGAGAGGAGGAGGAGGAGGAGGAGGAGGGGAGGAGGAGGGAGGAGGAGGAGGAGAGGGAGGAGGAGGAGGAGGAGGGAGGGAGGAGGAGAGAGGAGGAGGAGGAGGAGGAGGAGGACGGAGGAGGACGAGGAGGAGGAGGAGGGAGGAGGAGGAAGAGCAGCAGCAGCAGCAGGAGGAAAGATGAGGAGAAAGAGGAGGAGGAGGAGGGGAGGAGGAGGAGGAGAGGAGGAGGAGGAGCAGCAGGAGGGAGGAGGAGGAGGAGGAGGAGGAAGAAGAAGAAGAAGCAGAGGAGGAGGAGAAGGAGGAGGAGGAGGAGGAGGCGGAGGAGGAGGAGGAGGAGGAGGAGGAGGAGGAGGAGGCGGAGGAGGAGGAGGAGGAGGAGGAGAGGATCAAGTCTTCGATTCCCGAGTATTTTTTTTGTCCAGGGGAAGCCGCTCCCGAGCGCCCGCTCCTCGGAGCGTCCCCCCCGGGAGCGGCCTCGTCGCCTGGTGCATCTTCCAGACCCGCTGGGATCTCGGAGAGATTTCCCGACCTATCCTCACCTCAGGGGCAGCGATTGGGGGGGGATAGGCACCCAGACATGATCCCATCTTAAACATTCCGGGCGGATGGTTTTCGTCGTTTTCAGCCTCTGGAGCCCTCGCTGGACCCCGGGACCGTCAAAAAACGACTCAGAAGGAAAAACGGGTCCCGGGGAAAGTGTCGGGACGTCCAGGGACGCAGCGCTGAAAAAATCAGGACGTCGCATGTCTGGGCATACAGTGGAGGCCCATGCCAAGAAACACCCTGCTTGCCTCCAGGGTGCCCTGGGTTTCTTGGGTTTCGGTGGTTTTGCTGTGGAGAGCGTGGCGTTCCCACACCGAAAATCAATGGACGTTCTGAGGTTTCAGGGTTGGGTTTCTTGTGGAAGGTCTCTTGTGGTCGGTCCCCTCTGTAGGGGGGGATGCATCGACCCCCGTTCGCCCCTTGACCGCCGATGTGATCGCCGATGTGGGCCCGAGGGCCCCAGCCTGCCCCAGGAGCGTGCGGATTTGCTATCGGAGGCCTACCACCGATCTGTCGGCGACGCATCGCCGATTCCAGGTCGATGCCTCCCCTTGTGCCAGTCCCCCGCGATCGTTGCCCCTCATCACCCGAGCTCGTCCGCGCTCTGCTCTCGCCTGAGGTGCGCTTCTCCTCGGGCCCGGGCATGGCGCGCATGAACAGCCTGGTGAGCTGCCACTCGGGCCGCGGAGTGTCGGCCAGGGAGAGGCCGTGGATCTCCTTGTCCTCTGGGAAGCTGGAGAGGGGGGGAGGGCGGAGGGAGGGGGGGGAGGAGGGAGGAGGGAGGCGAGGAGGAGGGGGGAGGAGGGACGAGGAGGAGGGAGGAGCTGGAGGGGGTAAGGGTTAGGGAGTCAGGAGGGGGGAGGGGGAGAGAGAGAGAGGGGGGGATGAGGGAGGGGGGGGAGAGGGAGGAGTGAGGAGGAGGAGGAGGGAGGAGATGGCGAGGGAGGGAGAGGGAGGAGGATCGGATCGACTCGGCAAGAGGGAACGTCAAGAACCGCAGCGCCGTCTCGGCATCCTCGTGGAGCCACAAGGTGGGGTAAGTCAGGAAAAACGGTTGCAGCAGTAACCTTTAGTGTCTGCCCTGCTCGGCGGAGAGTGTCTTGAGAGCCCTCCCCCCCTCCCCCTTGACAAAGGGGGGGAGGGGAGGTCACACGCAGACAGGGGGCCCTTGCCTATGAGCCCCCCCCATCCCTTGGCAAAACTGGGCGACTGCCCGCACCGTGCTGCGCGCGGCCAGGGCCTGGCCCCCTAGGACGGGGCGAGGCAAACGAGAGAGCCAGGAGGAGGAGGAGGAGGAGGAGGAGGAGCAGGAGGAGGAGGAGGAGGAGGAGGAGGAGCAGGAGCAGCAGGAGAAAGGAGGGGGAGGAGGATCAGCTACGAACTGAGGCCTGCACGCTTCTGGCGCGTCCCGTGGGCAGGCTGAGAACGCCAGCCACAAGATGGGCAGCGTGATCACTCCTCGGACAACGATCGGCGGCGAGCAGGGGGGGGAGTGAGAAGGAGAAGGCCTCCTCAGAAGGCGGCGGGGCTTCTCAGAAGGCCCTTGGCCTTCTCAGAGGCTTTTTCTCTGTCTTCGGGGAAGGGTTCGAACACTTTTCGGAAAGCTGCGGAACTTCCGAGCCCTCTGAGAAGGCCTGCCCCTTCTCACTTCCCCCCCCGGGCGCGCCGCCGAAATGACCTGCCGCTGCGTAGCACATCGGCACGCTCGCGAAAGAAGTAGCAAGGCAGGCGTCAATCCGAATCGGTCGGGCCCGAGGCCTCGGAGCCGAGACTCGCACGGAGGAGCAGCATCGGAGGTACCATCCCTGCTTCCTTCCGGGCGAGGCTTGGACCCTTCAGGAACCCACGGCAGTCGACGAGCTGCGCCGGCCCCCGCAGCGGCCCGCGGCTGCGGGGCAGCAGGAGTCGTGGGCGAGCGCCGGTCCCGTGTCGAGGGGCCCTCCGTCACGTGGCCGGGCTCGGAGGCCGGCCCCGCTCTGTGCCAGGGCGGCCCTGCCGCAGCGAGAGGGGTGGCCCTCGCAGCAGCCCACGCCTGCGGGACAGCGGAGGGGCCGCAGGCTGAAGTCGGGCATGTCCCTGTGCAGCAGGGGTGTATTCAAAAACAGTCCCAACATGGTCTCGGAACGTTTGTTTCATGTTGTTCCATGTTTGGTGTGGTTTGCATATGTTGCGCGTATGCTTCAGTTATCGTCCAACAGTTCGCCTGTAGGAGGAGGACATGCCCGACCTGACCGTAGGCGATCGGCAGCCCCGTGTTGCAGCCCTCGAAGGAGCCCACGCCAGAGGTCGAAGAACACAGAGCGGCACAAGCACAGATTCTCTGAGCTCCGCGCAGATGTCCTCGGTGCGGTGGTGGGACGCTGGCTGGGGCAGCCCTCGAAGGAGCGCACGCCAGAGGTCGAAGAACACAGAACGGCACAAGCACAGATTCTCTGAGCTCCTCGCAGATTTCTTCGATCTGCGTCGGGCCGTCCAGGGCGGCGCCTCCGCGCGCCAGGGAGAGGGGCTCAGCGCAGATCCCATAAATTCGTGCGGACTTCCAAAAGTTTATGTTTGTGCAGTGCTTTCTGTCTTTGGTGCTCGAAGCAGCCCATACCGAAGGGGCAGCTGGGGTCGCAGACGATCTTCAGTCTTCAGCCTCTCGCTGATGCCCAGAACCTCGTAGCCACTGTACAAGCCTTGCGGGCCCCTATGTCTGGCAGGGGACTGGATCTGCAGCGTGGGGCGGTATACTAGAAGACAGCGCCGTCCGAGCGCGGCGGACTGTTGGGAACTTAGAGAAGTGGGCCCTTGCTCGAATGAAATAGCCACGCCTCAGAGACACCTGGGGGAGGAGAAGGGAGGAGGGAGAAGGAGTAGCAGGGGGAGAAGGAAGAGGGATGCAGGAAGGGGAAGAGGACGAGGGGGGAGGAGCAGGGGGCCAGGGCGAACCCAACCAAGACATCTGGCGTCTCGAGAAGATCGAGACGGGTTTGTTTAGCCGTTTTTTGGCCTCTCAGGGCCCTCACCGGGCCTTGGAACCGTCAAAAGTCGAGTCGGGATGACAAACCAGTCTTGGGCCGGGGGCCCCTTTCCCGAAAAAATTGCGACGCTGGATGTCTGGCAAGATGCGTGAACAATTCTGCATTGGACCTTCCCGTCCCAAGTCCCCTGGTCAGAAATCCCTACCACCCTTCCTCTTCACTACAAGAAACGCCCATGCCATTCACGCGAGAGCCCCGTTTTGAAAAGGAACAGCCCTGCGCCCTTCTGGCGAATAGTAAGGAATGCGAACAGGTACGACCATACACAATACATAAAGTTCAACGAGGTGTCAATCGATATCCGCGTTTTGGAAACGGGCCGCCCTCACCTGTGTAATTGTTGCATGTACTTGCACGTCTGACAAGAAGTTGCGGGGGAGTCTGAAGCGGGAACACCATTTTGAAAAAGAGCCGCATTCAACTCGTGCAGATGATGCATCTGCTCAGAGTTCTGGTGTGCAGACTTAAGAACATCTCAAGCAAGAGTCCCGTTTGGAAAAGTATCCGCGTCCTATCTTTGTAACAGATGTAAGATTTTAACACGGATGTGTTTGGCGCTATGGCGATAGTCCTATTTTGAACACACATTACATCAGTGCAGCTGCTACATGTCTAAAGCTTCGGTTGTCTAGGTTTAGCTTCAAGGAAACCACAAGCGAGAGCCCACTTTTGAAGAGACGCTGACCTCCAATCCTGTTTGTTGTTGTAAGCCTTGAAGACTTAGTTGCGCGGTGCTAGAGCGAGAGCCCTATGTTGAGAAGGAAGGCTCCTCCATCCTTGTAGCTGTTAGAGCTGCTGCAAACGTGCAAGGCGAATGCTCACCGCGCTAAGGCAATACCTCGATTTGGAAAACGACAAATATTCGACCCTCCTACCTGCTCCATGCACTTAAGACGAACATGCGCGGCGCTCAGGCGAGAGCCCCATTCTGTCAACGATCCCCCAACCGTTGCAAGCTTTCAAAACGACCGTGCGCGGCGCTAAGGCGTGAGCTCCATCAAACAACGGCCCCTTCTATCAGTCTATTTGCTGCAAGCTTTTAAGGCGACCTTGCGTGGCGCTCAGGCAATGGATCCATTTTCAAAATGGCCCCCCAGCATCCCCTTATCTGTTGTGAGCCTTTGGATAAACGGGCGTGCTCGGCACTCAGCCAGGGGCCCCATTTTGCACACGACCCATGCTCCAGCCGTGCATGTTCATGTACTCATTTCCAGCATCCGATTTACTAGCGGTGGGAAAGTATTCGGCGAAACGGCTCGTCCGCCCTAACGACACGTCTGAGCGTGCGACGGGGAGGAGTTATCTATACTTTGCCTGGAAAGGGGATGGAGGAAAAACAGGAGGAGGTGGAGAAGGAATGCGGCATGAGGTAGAGGAATGCGTTAGGATGAGGAGGGAGGCTGTAGGAGGAGACGAAACGATGAGGATGACGATGTTGTTGATGATGCTGATGATGATGCTGATGCTGATGCTGCTGCTGATGATGATGACGTTGATGTTGCTGCTGATGTTGCTGCTGATGTTGATGCTGTTGCTGCTGGTTATGATGATGCTGCTGCTGATGACGATGATGATGATGATGAGGAGGAGGAGGAGGATGAGGATGAGGATGGTGATGATGATGATGATGAGGAGGAGGAGGAGGAGGAGGAGGAGGAGGAGGAGGAGAAGGAGGATGAGGAAGAGGAACAGGAGGAGGAAGGGGATGAGGAGAAGAGAGGCGGCAGGAGGAGGAGGAGGAGGAGGAGGAGGAGGAGGAGGAGGAGGAGGAGGAGGAGGAGGAGGGGGTGGAGAAGGGATGAGCTCAGCCCGCCATTTCAGACAGCGTCTTGGCTCCGCGAGGGATGGGCCATGACTCTCATCTCCTGCTCCCTTCCTCACTGCCCTCCTTGCTCCCGCCCCTCTCGTTTTTGTCATCCTATTTCCTTCCCTCAGGTCGCAGTTCGACGCCTTCGTCAGGGGCTCGATGCAGGCTCTGAGGAAGAGCGCCATGGAACCGACGCCACAAGACTCGAGCCTGGTGTCGCTCTTTGTGAAGAGCCGCTACTTCTCCCTGGGGTTCGGGGTCCTCATCGTCCTGAGCACGGTGCTGATCGGCCGCCCGGGGGAGGGAAGCTGTCCACGGCCACCTGTCCTCCGCAGGCCTGGCCTTACGTCGGGCCTGCCCCCCTACAGGAGGGATACTCAAAAGTAGTAAAAAAGAAAATGGTCTGGGGACGATTCCTTCAGTGCTCGATGACGCTTTCGGGGGCACGTCTGGGGCATGTTCTGTCCTCCGTGCAGAAGCCGCCTGTGGGGGGACGGGCCCGACCGAAGCCTGGCCCGGCCCATGGCTTGGTGGGCACCGGCGCTGGCGCAGGCCAGGGCGCCAGATCCACAGCGGCGTGGGCCCAGGCGGCGCCCACGGACGGCGCGGGGCGGCGCTGGGATCGCTTCCCTGCGCCTGCCCCCTGGGGAGTCGAGGCCCCAGGTGCTCTCGTCGGAGCTGGGGTTAGGTCGGGACACGGGCGCTCTCGCCGGATCTGGGGTTAGGTGTTGGTGGGAGGCCTGACGGGGTTGGCCTCGCCCCCCCCCCCCTCCTCCTCCTCCTCCTCCCTCCCTCCCTCCCTCCCTCCTCCTCCTCCTTCCCTCCTCCTCCTCCTCCCACCTCCTCCTCCTCCTCCTACCTCCTCGCCTCCCCTCCTCGCCTCCCCCCCAGGCGTCGAGACCCAGGTGCTCTCCAGTCTGTCCGCCGGGGAGACGGCGTCGGAGCTGGGGGTCAGGTCGGGCGTGTCCCCCTTGTCGGGGGATTTTGGGCGAAAAACTTCAAAACTTTTGGGATCTGGCATTTTGGACGAGATGCCCCAGAAATGTTTCAAAAGTGGCCGAAACTGGTCAACAAATAGTCCCCAGACTATTTTCCGACTATTCCCCCTGCAGAGGGACAGGCCCGACTTCAACTTAGGGGAGCGAGGAATGACATAAACATCAAGCCTCGGAGGCCCGCGCGGATTTCTCGGATCGGCGCTGGACCTCCCGCCCTGGCGCGCGGAGCGCGCCAGGGGCGGCGCCGGAGGCGCCGCGATCCGAGAGATCCGCGCGGACCTCCCAGGTTGGGTGTTTGTGTCGCGCTTCGTTCGGCATCACCCCAACATACTTGTACTGTATGTGCGTCGCCCCCCGCTCGGGAAACGATATACTGCAAGATGGGTATACTATATGCTTGGGTCGGACGCGCGCCTCCAAGGAGGACATATAGTATTAGTATGTCTCTGTGCGTCCCATTCGCTCCCGTAGGATTCGCTGCTGGCGGCCCTGTCGTCCACGAACTACCTGCTCACCTTCCTGTTCACGGCGGAGATTGCGCTGCGGCTGTACGTGCACGGGCTTCATCCGGGAGAGGCTCACGCCTTGCTGGCCGTCCGCGGTGGTGGGAGGCCTGACGGGGTTGGCCTCGCCCCCCCTCCTCCTCCTCCTCCCCCTCCTCCTCCTCCTCGATCCTCGTTCCTCGATCCTGGTCCCTCGTTCCTCGACCTCGCGTGTGCCCCGTTCTCTCGCTCGTCGCCCCAGTGGCAGCCGCAGCCGACGCCGCAGCCACGGCCGCCGGAGGTCGCCGCAAAGTCCGCGCAGCCCGTCCCGCCCAGGGCCGCGCGGCCTCCGCAGCGCCGGGGGGTTGCACGCCGCGGCGAGCCCCCGGCCCTCGAGCGGGATCGCACGCCCCTCCTCGGAATCCAGGCGCAGGCTCTTCCCACGACGTGGCGGCGCCCCTGGACTCCCCAATCTCCACGTTGGCGCCGAAGCTGGCGGCCGCGGTTTCTCCTGTTGCCCCCGCGGGCCGCGCGGCGCGCGCGCCCGTCCGCGCTGAGTTTTCTGCGGCGAGGGGGCCTTGGACGAAACCTGCGTTTGATTTCGAGGAGGGTCGTATAGACCCGCTCCAGGGCTCATTTCGATCCCTCCGATCCGTTTCGATTCGATTGCGATGGATTCCGATTCCGATCCGAGTCGACCTCGAATTCCGATTTGGGATCCGATTTCTCAATGCCGATGTCTACCGAGTCGTCTTTTCCCGACTCGGCTGCCGATTTCCGCCGATCCGATTAATTTCGATCGCCGGTCCGACTTATCGATTCGATTCTGGGCTCCATACCCCTCCCCACGGGAGGGGCAGATATCCGAAGCTCATGTCTGCGCGTTTTTGGTCCTTCGGTGCCGGCGCGCCCAGGGTTTAAGGAAGGGCCTTTGGAGTAGGGGATCGACTGCAGAGTCGGTCTGCCTCAGAATTGATTTCCTCGTCGAGTCCGCGAGAGACACGTAGAAGGCGACGTAGACCTACGAGCATTCTGCGCATTGTTCATAGACTCGACGAGAAAATCGTTTTTGGAGGCACATCGATTCTATAGTCGATCCCCTACTCGAACCTTAGGACCCCCTCGAGCAGGACCTCGGGACCCCCTCCCCTCCCTCCACGGGAGGGGCGGACACCCCAAAGCTATGCTTAAGTCGGGCGTGTCCCTCTACAGGAGGAATATTGGAAACAGCAGTGAAAAGATCACATGGGGACGATTTTTTTTGTATTTTTGAATATGTTTGGATATGTGTCGCCTCCTTGTTGGGGGGGTCCAAAATCCCCCTGTAGGAGGACACGCCCGACCTAAAGCTATGCATGTGCGTTTGTGGCCCTCTGGCGCCGGGCGTGCCCAGGGGGGCGCGAGAAGGGGGGCTCGGCCACCAGAAGGGGAGCGGTCGGACGCCGCGCACGCACGTGGGAGGTCTGGGTCCTCGGCGTCGCTCGGGCGTGGGCTTCTTTCTCGGCGGGGAGCATCTCGGATCATCTTTGCGAAAAATAGTGCACGCGCGAGGCCGAGAAGTGCACGGGGAGTGGACGCCCGAGCGATGGCGAGGGTCTGCGTGGCTCTCCATTCCTCCCTCCCAGTCCTCCTCCTCCCCCTCCTCCTCCGCCTCTTCCTCCGCCGCCTCCTCCCTCTCCTCCCTCTCCCCGTTCCTCTCCTCTCATCCTTCTTCTCCCAGCTGCCCTCGCGGCAGTGCGCTCGAGACTCCAGGAAGGGGTGCCCAGACATCTGGCGTCTCGAGCACAATCGAGACGGGTTTTTGTTTTGTTGCCGTTTTCGGCCTCTCGGGGCCCTCACCAGGCCTCGGGACCGTCAAACAAGGACTCGAGATGAAAAAACGGTCCTGGGGAAGTGGTCGAGAGGTCAGGGGCCCGTGTCTCAAAACAATCGCGACGCCCGATGTCTGGGTGGTGGATGATCTCGATTACTTCTCTTCGCGCGGACCTGACTGGCCTTCAGACGGAAGGTCAGACAGCCAGGTTCGTAGGGGCAGGTTCGTGCTGGTCTTGCTGCTCCTGAATCTCTTACATGCGCTCGCTGCAACATATTGAAATGTCTGTACATCTACCATGTTCACATGTGTACATATAACTGTGTGCATATGCTTACGTATATGTTTATGTATATGTACATTGCCCCGGCAACCGGGGTTCCCTGTTCGAGCCGGCGCCGAAGACGCTATTTGAAGACGCTGCTGCCTGTGACGACGCGTCCCTGTGAAGACGATGTACATAGTTGTGTGTATATGTCTATGTCCATGTTTGTGTATAATTATAGGTGTACGTGTAAATGGATGTGCACATGCGTATGCATATGCGCATGCATGTGTATATGCATATCTGTATACACACGCATGTTTCGTTGTGTAAAGAATCGGGGGGCGTGAGCTGACCACATCGTGGGCCCTGGCCGGGCCGACCCCAGGCCCAGGACCGGCGCACGCGCCCCTCTGGCGCAGCAGCGGGGGCGCATGCAGTGGAGACCCATGCCAAGAACCACCGTGCCTGCCTCCAGTCGGCGGCGAGCGAGGGGTGGAGGAGGACGACGAGGAGGAGGAGGAGGAGGAGGCGGGGAAGGAGGAGGAGGAGGAGGAGGAGGAGGAGGAGGAGGAGGAGGAGGAGGAGGAGGAGGAGGAGGAGAAGCGAGGAAGAGGGAGGAGAGGAGGAGGAGGAGGAGGAGGAGGAGGAGGAGGGAGCAAGGGAGTGGAAGAGGGAGGAGGGAGGAGGGAGGGAGGGAGAAGGAGGGAGGAGGGAGAAGGATGGAGGAGGAGGAGGAGGAGAGAGGAGGAGGAGGAGGAGGAGGAGGAGGAGGAGGAGGAGGAGGAGGAGGAGGCGGAGGAGGAGGAGGAAGGAGGGGAGGAGGAGGAGGAAGGAGGAGGAGGAGGAGGCAGGAGGAGGAGGAGGAGGAGGAGGCATGAGGGGCATCCCTGCGAGGTTCAGCTACGAACTGAGGCCTGCACGCTTCTGGCACGCTCCGTGGGCAGGCTGAGAACGCCGGCCACAAGATGGGCAGCGTGATCACTCGTCGGACAACGATCGGCGGCGAGCAGGGGGGGGAGTGAGAAGGAGAAGGCCTTCTCAGAAGGCTGAGGGCCTTCTCAGAAGCCCTCGCGCCTCCTGAGAAGTTCTCTCTGTCTTCGGGGAAGGCTCGAGGAACCTCTCAGAAGGCTTGGGGACCTCCGAGCCTTCTGAGAAGGCCCGCCCCTTCTCACTCCCCCCCTCCCTCCGAGCTGCTTGCCGACGTCTCGAAATAGGATCCAAGATGCTCCTCGAGGGCCCTCGCGGAGAACCAGGAGGAGGAGGAGGAGGCGGAAGGGAGAACGGAGGAGGAGGAGGCGGAGGAATGAGGAGGAGGAGGAGGAGGAGGAGGAGGAGGAGGAGGAGGAGGAGGAGGAGGAGGAGGAGGAGGAGGAGGAGGAGGAGGAGGAGGAGGGAGGAGGAGGAGGAGGAGGAGGAGGAGGAGGAGGAGGAGGAGGAGGAGGAGGAGGAGGAGGAGGAGGAGGGAGGAGGAGGAGGAGGAGGAGGAGGAGGAGGAGGAGGAGGAGGAGGAGGATGAGGATGGAGGAGGATGAGGAGTGAGGAGTGAGGAGTGAGGAGTGAGGAGGAGGAGGAGGAGGAGGAGGAGGAGGAGGAGGAGGAGGAGAGGAGGAGGAGGAGGAGGAGGAGGAGTGAGGAGGAGGAGTGAGGAGGAGGAGGAGGAGGAGGAGGAGGAGGAGGAGGAGGAGGAGGAGGAGGAGGAGGAGGAGGTGGTTTTGCTATGGAAGGCGTGGCGTTCGCCCACACCCAGAGGGCAAGGGGCGTGCTGGGCCCTCGGGGCCCAGGCTTCTCGTGCGGACGGTTTCTTGCGGTCGGGCCCCAACTGCGCAGTGGGAGCCCGTGCCAAGATGCACCCGGACATGATCGTATCGTAGAAATTCGGGACGGATGTTTTTCGTCGTTTTCGGCCTCTGGAGCCCTCGCCGGACCCCGGGACCGTCGAAAGACGACTCAGAAGGAAAAACGGGTCCCGGGGAGAGGGTCGGGACGTCCAGGGACGCCGGCCTGAAAAAATCAGGACGTCGCACGTCTGGGCATACAATGGAGGCCCATGCCAAGAAACACCTTGCTTGCCTCCAGGGTGCCCCCGGGTTTCCTGGGCTTCGGTGGTCTTGCAACGGAGCGCATCACGCTCCCGCACCCGAAAAGGCAGCGGACGTCCTGGGCTCTCAGGGTGGGGGTTCTTGTGGAGGGCTTCGCTCGTGGTCGAGCTCCTGCTCGATACTGGAGCCCGTCCTGGGCCCAGGATATCGGCCCAGCCGGGATCGGCGAGGTGGTCGGTGGACGTCCCCCCTTTTGAGTCCTTCGCCTTCTGGCGTCCTCCCCAATTCAGAGTTTTATCCGGGCAGTTCACATTGACCCAAGAGGACAGCTTAATCTTGTAAGGACAGAGGTCCGTTCTCTTAGCATTCCCATCGCATGCTGGCGTCCTCCCTCTTCCTCCTTGCGGACAGCCCTGAACCCGCACGCGGGGGGTCGGCGGGCTTCTTCGTCGAGGAGAGGTTGTGGAATTGCTTCGACCTGACCATCTTGCTCCTGGCGCTCTTCGAGGCCTCGGAGACCGCGCTGCATCCGAGTATGAGTATGATGAGAAGGAGGAGGAGGAGGAGGAGGAGGAGGAAGAGAAGGAAGAGGAAGAGGAGGAGGAGAAAGCGGAGGAGGAGGAGAAGGAGGAAGGAAGAGGAGAAGGAGGAGGAGGAGGAGGAGGAGGAGGAGGAGGAGGAGGAGGATCAGTCCCACGCTACGCGCATCGTTCCGATCCTCCCCTGTCTCCCCCCTCCGCTCCTCCCCAGGCCCCCCCAGATGAAGGGAGAGGGAGGGCGGGAGGAAACAAGGAGGGCCGGAGGACTCGACTGGAGCTCGCAGCGAGGGCATCCCCAAGAGGTTGCCCTGGAGGCCGCCCTGGAGTTCTCGGGTAAGAAGCGCAACCTCGGGACGGCCAAGCTCCTGCGCCTGGTCCGCCTCACCCGGCTGCTGCGCCTCGTGAGGACGTTTCGCCAGCTGAAGCCCCTGCGGACGCTGGTGCAGTCCATCGCGGGGGGTGCCAAGAGTGTCCCTGGCCAAACGTGCCCCCATCTTTTCTATGCCTCCTAGATGGGGTTGGAGCAGATGGGGTCG